TGTTCCGCTGCCCACCTGGGTCCAGAAAGAGCCCCCTGCCCCCCACCCCAACCCCAGGTCACGAGTCAAAGGGAAGAAAGCTCCGGCCAAGGGCTGCCTCGCCCGTGCCAGGCCCAGCGAAGGGGGGTCTGCTGCTGACACATTTCTAGAACAGGCGGCAATTAGAGCAGATTTGCTCTTCCACTCCCCCTCCCCAAAACAGGAATAAATCAGTTCTACCAATTTCCCAGCTAATGATTTCCTCCATTAAATTAAGAAGAAGAAGAAGAAAATGTTTTTTTAAATGGATTACCAGCCCTGTGCTTCCAGGGACCATGTGACCCGTCAGCTCCTCTTAAGCTCTAATCCGTCAAAGTCCCTTAATTAATTTTTAATAAATAAAAAAGTCATAGTCCAAGAAGCGCCCCTCCCCCGCCTGACCCTGGTCAGTCTGGCACACAAGGGCCAGCTTGGGGCTGGCTGGGGGGAGCCGGCTTCATCGGGCCAAAGAGAACCTGAAAGTCAGTGCATACGATCCATTTCACGGATGACGAAAACGTGGCTGAGACCGGCGGTGCCGAAGCACAGAGGCCAGGACCCACGGGGGAGACCGCCGTGGGGGACTGGACACGAGGGGGGAGCCTCGGCGGCAAGGTGCGCCCCCGGGACAAGCGAGACAGGTGCAGCCGGGAGCTGAGCGGCGGGGACGTGGGGCTCAGGAGCCTGGGCTTCTCTCCCTCCTTCGTTCCTCTGCCGCTCCTGGGACAGGGGCGGAGGTTTGCACGGCGAACGCCCCGTTCGCGTCTAAAACGGCATGGACGAACCTCGAAAGCAAGGGAAAGGCAGGCACGAAGGACAAACACTGTATAATTCCACTTCCATGCGGTCCCTGGAAGAGGCACGGTCAGAGACAGGAAGTAGAACCGAGGTGACCACTGGGGGAGGGGCGAACGGGCAGCAGTTAATGGGCACAGAGGAGAAGAACCATCCTCTCTCCAAACTGTATCTGAGGGAGGGGCGACGACCCCATGGGGACTCTCGGAACCCTCTGTGGTCTGCTCCCAGCCAAACCTTGATTCCTAAGGGACCGCTCAGGTGCTCACAAGCCTCCCTCCCCCGTTCGTGCAGGACGCCAGGGACTTCCGGAGAAAGGCTCCTCGTGGGAGCCAGCGTCACCAGTCAGGAGCCCCCGTGTCCTTGGTGGCTTATCGAACGCCAAAGAGCAGGCGGAGGACAAGAAGGGCCGGAGAAGGCCCTCCCCAGAAGTCCTCCAGGCCTCTGCACTTGCTGTGCCCTCTTCCTGGACCTCATGTCCCCGGATGTCCCATGACTTGGTCCCTAAGTTTATCTAGGTTTCCACAGCGAGGTCCTCTCTGACCCTCCCACAGTCAGAAAGATGCAGAGACGGTGGCTGGGGCCAGGCAGGGTGGCCTGAGCCACTATGGGACACCGAGAGCCCTGTGCGGTCACGGACGGCCAACACCTTCCCGCTGTTCCTGGCTCCGCCATCACCAGCTAGAGGCCCTTGGCAAGTCCCTTCATCCCTCGAAGCCTCCGTTTTTCTCTTCTGCAGATGAAATGAGGCTTTTTGTGAGGACTGCATCAGATGACGTATGCACAGCGTTGAGCACACGGCTGGGACGTGGGCAAAGGTCGACAAATGGTAACGACTGTCATTACAGCCTCCCAAACACGCAGGCACATTCCTGCAAAGAAGCCCCGGGGCCAGTGACCCCCGACAGCTCAGAGGACATGCAGCACTAATCACCATCCAGGCCAGGAGGTCAGTGACCCAGAAGGCAGAGGGTGGGGCCCGTAGGCCTAATTTGTGCTGTATAGGAATAAACTAATTTAACTTCTTCTGTCTCCATTTTGCATTTGAGGAAATCGAAGCTCTGAGAGGTCAGTGATTTGCTTCAGACCACAGAGCCAGGAGGGGAGTCAAACCCTGACCCTGTGGCTCCGGGGCCTGAGCTGGTCCTCACTGCTCCATAAGGTGTCTCAACAGCCATGTGGAAGGAGAAAGGAGGGAAGAAGGACAGACGGATGGACGGACGGACAGAGGGAAGCCGAGAGCAGGCCACGGGAAGGCGGCTGCACAGGCGGACCCCCCTGCCCGCCCCCGCAGCTCCCGCATCCGGGCGTGAGCCGCTGGAAGCCGGACGGAGAAGTCGCAGTGCAGGTCCCTCGGGAAAGCCCACCGCGGGGCCGGACCGGCCTGGCTCCTCCCGAAGCCTCCAAGGTCAGGCCCAAGATCCTTACACTTAGTTCCACTCAGCCCAGCTGCACTGGTCAGCGCCCAGCTGTGCAGTTAACTCCCTCAGGACCGGGGCCGGGGCGCAGCAGTGGAGATCAATGCCTGCCCGGCCATTCGGAGACCCAGGGGACCCCCGAAGGCCACACCCATCCGGGGGCCTGGTGCGGGGGCGGGCCCTGCACGCTGGCGGGCATTCTGTGTGTGCAGCTGAAGGGCAAGCTGCTTCCGGCTGGCTCTCAAAGGTGATTCACTCCCCTCCACACGACTTCCTAAATACCTACACACCTCTTCATTAGCAACCTTCTTAGGCCTCTGCCACACAGGGTCTCTAAGCGACCTTCCCCGCCAGGCTCCACAGCAAGGATGGAGTGAGCATTTTAAGCTGTCAATACAGGGATGACACAGCTGGGGGCGTCCAGGAGAAAGGCAGCTCAGCAGAGCATCGCCGCTTAGGCCACTTAACCCCTCCCACATGGCCACCCCCTCGCTGACAACCAGCCACCGGTGGCCTTGTGGAATCAGCAGCAAGTGTCTCCTCTCGGTCCTGACACCCTGCGGGCTCTCTCCAAGGTGCCTAACCTCATGGCGGGAGCGCCATCCTGCAGCCACTTCCTTCGGAGGCGGACTTCCAGAAGCATCCAAGGAATGCGTGACTCTAGGAGCATGCGGCTTACGGCTGCCCAGAGGCAGAAGACACAGGTGAAAACACGGCGGTTCCAGCCGTGAGAACCACCTGGTCTCCCGGAACACCTGACAGAGGCTTTACGATTCTCCCCACTCTGTTCTCACCACGGTAGACAGGGTTGGGAAAAGTCCTTAAACCCATAAATCTAACTTCTCCACCTAAGATCGAAGGTTCTCGATGCTGGTCACTCGTCGTCTGAATGCAAGAAGCAGCGGCCAGTGCAAAAACATTACAATCCCGAGGGGACCGCACCAACTCAGACACCTTCCGGCAACTTCCGGCCATCGTCCGGAGCCAATGGGAGCCTGGCTGTCAAACCCGGGGAGCCGTGTCCCCACAGCGTCCCCTCTCCACCAGCCTGAAGTTTCTGCACAGACGGTGGGCCCTCTAACCCAGAGTCAGAGCCCCCGACCACTCACAAGCTGAGACCTCCCTGCCCTACGGGTCCTCACCTGTCACCCGCCTGGCAGGGCTGACTCGGGGCCGAAACGAAATGAAGTGCACAGTGCCTCCAGCGGGGCCGGCCTCCGGAACAGTCACTTCTCATGCCTCCTGGCCCTTGCTTTGTCTTGG